TTGATGAGAAATTGTCATCATATAATCCTTCTTTAATCATGACTTTCTTTGGTTCTTTGAATATGTCTATAATAGCTGCTGCTAAGTCTTTGGTTGCTAAGCCCATTTTCTGGGCCTGCTCATAGGCAGTTTCTGTTGCCTCCCCCTCCCCAATCCCACCCTCGGCCCCCCACGTATGAGTCACAATTTCCTTTTCTTTACATTTCTCATAATTTTGTTGTTGTTGTTGAAAACTGGATGTTTGAGATGATAAAGCAATTCTGGATACTAATGTCATCCTCCCCATCCAAGGCTTGTTGTTGTTTGTTTAGTGACTTGGCTGGATTATTTTGAGGATGTCTATTTCCTCCACAGCATATAGCCTCTGATGTCACACCCTGAAGGGTGCAGGCTTAGGAATATGGATAATCATCTTGGGTGTTTTTAGCAGGGCTCTTTTTGACTGTTTCCCTGATCTCTCTATTCAGCTGTCTGCCTCTATATCATACCCAGCTCATAGGCTTCACTAATTGGTGGCTGATTGCTTTATTGTTTTTGACAATGCCCTAGGGCATAAATTCTTCCAGTCAATTAAATTCAGGCCTCTTCCTACAGGTGGTTTTGAGGCCAGTCTCTGGGTTTGTTCTGAGGACTCTTTATAGCTGTCTCTTTCCGTGATTCTGGTAAACTAGCTGGCCTACAGTTTACTTTGTTCCTTTCATGGAGCTTCCAGCCACCTCTTAATGGCTTACAATTTAAATCTCCATTGTTTTTGACCCTCACATTATTTTTGATGCTATTGTGAATGGGGTCACTTTTTCACATAATTCATTGTTAGTGTATGGAAATGCTACTTATTTTTGCATGTTAATTTTGCATCCTGGGTTTCCTTGGTGGCGCAGTGGTTAAGAATCCGCCTGTCAATGCAGGGGACACGGGTTGAAGCCCTGGTCTGGGAAGATCCCACATGCTGCAGAGCAACTAAGCCTGTGTGCCACAACTACTGAGCCCGTGTGCCGCAACTACCAAAGCCCGTGCGCCTAGAGCCTGTGCTCCGCAACAAGAGAAGCCACCGCAATGAGAAGCCCACACACCGCAACGAAAAGCAGCCCCCGCTTGCCACTAGAGAAAGCCCATGCGCAGCAACAAAGACCCAAAGCAGCCAAAAATAAATAAAAATAAAATAAATTTATATAAAAAAATTTTGCATCCTGCACCTTTACTGAATTTATTGATTAGATCTAACAGTTTTGTTTTTTGTGTTTTTTTTGGTGGAGTCCTTAGGATTTTCTATACATAAAATCATGTCATCTGCAAATAGGGACAATTTTACTTCTTGCTTTCTAGTTCTGATACTTTTTATTTCTTTCTCTTGCTTGATTGCTCTGGCTAGGACTTCCAGTACTATGTTGAATAGGAGTGGTAAGAGTGGGCACAACCTTGTCTTGTTCCTGACCTAAGAGGAAAAGTTTTCAACATTTCACCATTGAGTATGATGTTAGCTGTGGACCTGCCATATATTGCCACCATGCTCTTTTTTCAATTAAAGTCAGTTCACTTGGGGAGAGTGCCACAGCCCTTAAGAACCACCCCTGCCACTGAGAAAAATCTCAGCCACTGCTTCAGGACTCGGGTGGAGATAGTTGCCTGCTTTTCTTGGAATGATTCCCCTGCTTTATTAGCAGGCCACAGGGTAGAGCAGTAATCTCTGGTCTTCTTGGCTTGCCTCTCTTGCTGTGGAACTCCACCATAACACTACCCTATGAACACACTGGATGAGGCTAATTGGGGTCCCAGTATTCTCAGCCTGCCATGCCTCAGGTAGAGCCTCTGCTCAATGAGTGGGAACCAGGTGGAAGAAGGGAGACTTTGATATCTTGGCACACTTGTCTCAAATTTAACCTCTGCAACATGGAATTTGGAGAGATGAGAAATGCTGGCGGCATGTCCCTCCCAGTGAGATACGATAGCCATTGGCTGAGATCTGGGGGAAGATGGTACCTGTCTTACTGGCCAAACCTGCTTGGAATGGACAAAACCTGCTTGGTGTGGAGAAAAGGGAACTCTCTTGCACTGTTGGTGGGAATGTAAATTGATACAGCCACTATGGAGAACAGTATGGAGGTTCCTTAAAAACCTAAAAATAGAATAACTATATGACCCAGCAATCCCACTACTGGGCATTTACCCAGAGAAAACTGTAGTTCAAAAAGACACATGCATAACACTGATGAACACAGATGCAAAAATCCTCAACAAAATACTAGCAAACAGAATCCAGCAGCACATTAAAAGGGTCATACACCATGATCAAGTGGGGTTTATCCCAGGAATGCAAGGATTCTTCAATATACACAAATCAATCAATGTGATACACCATATTAACAAATTGAAGGAGAAAAACCATATGATCATCTCAAGAGATGCAGAAAAAGCTTTTGACAAAATTCAACACCTATTTATTATAAAAACCCTCCAGAAAGTAGGCATAGAGGGAACTAACCTCAACATAATAAAGGCCATATATGACAAACCCACAGCCAACATCATCCTCAATGGTGAAAAACTGAAACCATTTCCACTAAGATCAGGAACAAGACAAGGTTGCCCACTCTCACCACTGTTATTCAACATTGTATTGGAAGTTTTAGCCACAGCAATCAGAGAAGAAAAAGAAATAAAAGAAATCCAAATTGGAAAAGAAGAAGTAAATCTGTCACTGTTTGCAGATGATATGATACTATACATAGAGAATCCTAAAGACTCTACCAGAAAACTACTAGAGCTAATCAATGAATTTGGTAAAGTAACAGGTTACAAAATTAATGCACAGAAATCTCTTGCATTCTTCTACACTAATGATGAAAAATCTGAAAGAGAAATTATGGAAACACTCCCATTTACCACTGTAACAAAAAGAATAAAATACCTAGGAATAAACCTACCTAAGGAGACAAAAGACCTGTATGCAGAAAACTATAAGACACTGATGAAAAAAATTAAAGATGATACAAACAGATGGAGAGATATACCATGTTCTTGGATTGGAAGAATCAACATTGTGAAAATGACTATACTACCTAAAGCAATCTCTACAAATTCAATGCAATCCCTATCAAACTACCACTGGCATTTTTCACAGAACTAGAACAAAAAATTTCACAATTTGTATGGAAACATAAAAGACCCCGAATAGCCAAAGCAATCTTGAGAAAGAAAAATGGAGCTGGAGGAATCAGGCTCCCTGACTTCAGACCATACTACAAGGCTACAGTAATAAAGACAGTCTGGTACTGGCACAAAAACAGAAATATAGATCAATGGTACAGGATAGAATGCCCAGAGATAAACCCACACACATATGGTCACCTAATTTACTACAAAGGAGGCAAGAACATACAATGGAGAAAAGACAGCCTCTTCAATAAGTGGTGCTGGGAAAACTGGACAGCTACATGTAAAAGAATGAAATTAGAACACTACCTAACACCGTACACAAAAATAAACTCAAAATGGATTAAAGACCTAAATGTAAGGCCAGACACTATCAAACTCTTAGAGGAAAACATAGGCAGAACACTCTATGTTCACATAAATCACAGCAAGATCCTTTTTGATCCACCTCCTAGAGAAATGGAAATAAACACAAAAATAAACAAATGGGACCTAATGAAACTTAAAAGCTTTTGCACAGCAAAGGAAACCATAAACAAGACGAAAAGACAACCCTCAGAATAGGAGAAAATATTTGCAAATGAAGCAACTGACAAAGGATTAATCTCCAAAATTTACAAGCAGCTCAATATCAAAAAAACAAACAACCCAATCCAAAAATGGGCAGAAGAGCTAAATAGACATTTTCCTAAAGAAGATATACAGATTATCAACAAACACATGAAAGAATGTTCAACATCATTAATCATTAGAGAAATGCAAATCAAAACTACAATGAGATATCATCTCACACCAGTCAGAATGGCCATCATCAAAAAATCTAGAAACAATAAATGCTGGAGAGGGTGTAGAGAAGAGGGAACCCTCTTGCACTGTTGGTGGGAATGTAAATTGATACAGCCACTATGGAGAACAGTATGGAGGTTCCTTAAAAAACTAAAAATAGAACTACCATATGACCCAGCAATCCCACTACTGGGCATATACCCTGAGAGAACCATAATTCAAAAAGAGACATGTACCACAATGTTCATTGCAACACTATTTACAATCGCCAGGACATGGAAGCAACCTAAGTGTCCATCAACAGATGAATGGGTAAAGAAGATGTGGCACATATATACAATGGAATATTATTCAGCCATAAAAAGAAACGAAATTGAGTTATTTGTAGTGAGGTGGATGGACCCAGAGTCTGTCATACAGAGTGAAGTAATTCAGAAAGAGAAAAACAAATACCGTATGTTAACACATAAATATGGAATCTAAAAAAAAAAAGAAGAAATGGTTATGAAGAACCTAGGGTCAGGACGGGAATAAAGATGCAGACCTACTAGAGAACGGACTTGAGGACATGGGGAGGGGGAAGGGTAAGCTGGGACAAAGTGAGAGAGTGGCATGGACCTATATATACTACCAAATGTAAAAGAGATAGCTAGTGGGAAGCAGCCGCATAGCACAGGGAGATCAGCTCGGTGCTTTGTGACCACCTAGAGGGGTGGGATAGGGAGCGTGGGAGGGAGGGAGACACAAGAGGGAAGAGATATGGGGATATATGTATATGTATAGCTGATTCACTTTGTTATAAAGCAGAAACTAACACACCATTGTAAAGCAATTATACTCCAGTAAAGATGTTTAAAAAAATGTATTACAAGAAAAATAAGTCTGTTTAAGTAGGTTTTACAGGCACATGATTAAAAGCATTAAAAATGTATTACAAGAAAAATAAGTCAGGTTCTGTGTTAGTTATCTAACACTGTGTTAATGAATTACTGTGAGAAGCTTAAAACAACACACATTTATTATATCATTTTCTGTGTGTCAGGAATATGAGCATGGCTCACCTGAGTCCTGGGTGTGGCTCATCTGAGGCTCCTCTGGGAAAGGATACCAAGCTAACATCACTGTTGCAGGATTTGTTCCTTGTGCTTGTGGGTTACCAGCCAGAGGTATCCTCAGTTCCTTGGCATATGACCTCTCTGAATGGCTGTTTACTTCATAAAATCCAGCAAGTGTGAGGTTCAGTAGAGTCTGCTAGCAAGATGGAAATTACAGTCCTATTTAGCATAATCACCGAAGTGACATCCATCACTTTTGTTGTATTCTATTGTCTAGAAACAAGTTGCAGATCCTGTCCACACTCGAAGGGGAACGGATTACACATGGGCATGAATGTTAGGAGGCAGAGATGATTTGGGACCATTTTAGAACCTGTCAGTCACTGCCTCCCACTCCAGATCCCCAGTCCCTATATTCAGGGGGCAACTCCTGTTACCTATTCCTTGTGAACTCATCCAGATATTCTATGCACCTGTGTGAAGTCACCCCGCCCCCTCCAACAATCAAAAATTATAATCTTGTATTCACAGTGCTCAGCACCCAGATTTTTTCATTTAACAATGTATGTCTTGAAATCTAGTTCATATTAGTACCTACAGATCTGCTTCGTTCTTTTTTATAACTGCATACTCTTCCATTGTTTGGATATCCTATCATTTATTTAACCAATTCCCTCTTTCATGGATATTTAGGTAGTTTCAAATCTTTTGCTATTACAAACAATGCTGGAGGATACATATTCCTGACCAAATAGTATATGCATTTAATATTTTGAGTTATTGCTAAACGGCCTTCCTGAAGAGTTGAACCAATTTACACACCTATCAGCGATGAATTACAGCACCTATTTTCATTCACAGTTTATGTTCTAGAAATACTGATCTATTTTGTATTTTCCCATGCTTTCTCAAGCCTTTTTTCTTTGCCTCACACTGTACTTTTTCTTTGCTTGTAACATTTTCCTTCTGTTCGCTTTCTTTGAAAACTCCTACACATTCTTCAAGTTCTCTGCTCGCATGTTACCTTTCCACGAAACAGCACTTTGCCAAGGATCCTATATACTTAATGACCTTGTGCATGGCTCTATTAAGGTATGCAACTATCTTTATTTACAGTATTATAATTATAATAGATAATTCCTCTCCTCCTCCACTAGAGGGCAGGGACAATTCCTTTTTTTGTTTTTTCCCCTGGTACACAGCACCACACCTAGCTTACAATAGCCACCCAAGTATTCGTTGAGTTAATTAAGATGAACGTGAACCCACAATGTATTCCAGATCCTTTCCCAGGGATTATTGCATCGATGACACTAAATCAGCCTCCTTTAAGTTGTACAAATTTGGGGGTTAAAAATATCTCTGGGCCAACCCCTCCTTTCAATAACAATGCAATAACCTCCTCCAATAACTACAGGAACTTGTAAAGAACCAGAAAACACCAGCAACTGGCAAATAAGCTCAGGTCACTGGCTTTTTCCTCTAAAATCAACCGTGGAGAAAATGTAAAGTAAGAGGGAAGCATAGAATCCAGGAATGAACCACCATAATCACTACCTCTGTGAGAAACCCTTAGGGAAACTAAAAAGTCTGTCTTGAATTAGAGTGTGTGGGAAGGCGGGGAAGAAGATGGGTACTGAGGAGAGAAAGAGAGACTGGGGGCTACACTATGGTGGAGGGTAGCAGTGAAAAGGTAGGTGAAGAAAAGCTTCTTAAAATTCTGTTCTTTCCTTCTGCAGAGTTGCTTTGAGACAGACAGTCACTGCCTGTCCCTTCATGGTAAAACTAGCGGCAGCATCCTAGACCACTGGGGATGGTATCCATGGGGTTGTTTCCATGCACGGCATGTCATGATTTTATCTGCTGTGTTCTCTTATCCACCCTACCAATGCTGCACACCAGTTTACCTCCAAATTCCCTGCCCGTATTCCTTCAAATTATTTCTTTTTCTGCTTAAATCAGTGGTTAGTTTCTGTTTTTTGTAACTATTAATCCTGACCATCAGTGGAAACAAGCCTGGAGGAAGGGAAAGGGTTAGAGGTTATTATAATAAACCAGATGAAAAATAAATAAATAAACCAGATGAGAGGCAATGATGGTGTGGGCAAGAATGTTGGCGGTATAAGAGGTTATTGGATTGGAGATATATTTTGGACATTAAGTAGACCAGACTTTCTAAAGGATTGGATGAGGAAGGGGAGGAAAATAAAGTAATCAGGGATGACTCTGAGGTTTTTGTCCAGCAGAACTGTGTGAATGGTAGTGCCATTAATTGAAATGGGAAAGATTGAGGGAGAAGAGAAGACTTTTTATAAAGGTAGGAATTAGAAGTCCTGTTCTGGTCATGTTATACTTGAGATCCCTATTAGGCATCCAAATGGAGATAATATATGAGTCTAGGATTCACGACAGAGTCATGTCTGGAGAATAAACTGATGGGATCGGCAGCATATAGAGAGTATTTAAAGTCATGGGACTGAATGAGATCATTAGGGAAAGAGAGTATATAAAGAAGAGGACCAAGAAATGAAGCCTGAGGCAACTGATCTTTAGAGATTGGGAAGAGAAGGAGGATCCAGTAAAGGAAATTAAGAAGCAGCCAATGAAGTACAAAGAAACTAGGAGAATGTGGAGTCTCTGATGTCAGATGAAAGCATTGTTTCAAAACTAAGGAGGGGTTAGTATGTCCCATGTTGCTGAGAGTTCAATAAGATGAGAACAGAAAATTTAATATGAAATTTGAAAATATGGAAGTAACTGGTGAACTTGGCAAAACCATTTTCAGTACAGTGGTGCAGAGGAAAGCCTAGGATTTACTTCTTTAGTCCCTCCTCCAATTTTCTACTTCTGTTTGCCTGGAACATAGATAAAATGTCTGGAGTACAGTAGCCATATTGGGTCATGAGGTAATATTGAGGCTGGAAGTTTTACGCTAAGGATGGCAGAGCAGGAAGACAGAGGAGCTTGGGTCCCTAGGGACAATATGAACCCATAATATCTACCTCTGAGCTTCCTTTATATAAAAGAAAACAAACCCTGCCTTATATATACTACTCTATTCTGGATTTTGTGTTATATGTGACTAAACGTAATTCACACTGACATTGACATAGGAGAGCAGAGAAAATAGGCAGTGTCATGGTAGAAACAAATTTTTTTTTTCTCCAAAGATGGGAGATACTGTAACATATCTGTAGGTTATAGAGGAAGAAATTGATGGCGCAGGATAGAGGGTATAACTAGAAGAGCAGAGCCCATGAGTAAGGAAAAGGGATTGGAGTCTTGTACACAAATGAGGGGATTGGCCTTAGATGGTAGTGAGGATAGTTCATCCATTGTAACAGGAAAGAAGGCAGACAGGTATAGGCCCAGGTAGTTCGGTAGCTTGGTGAAGAAGATGAAGTAGTTTTTAGTTAGATTTTCCTATTTTCTCAGTAAAATATGAAATGAGTCATAAACTTAATTCTAGTTCATCTCTAAAATGTGGATACTTAGGTACATGAACTCTAGAGCAGGGACTCCTGGATGTGAACTTAATTTTCCTGTGCTTTATTTTCCTTAACTGTAAAACAAGGATAATAATGCCTGCCTTTTAGGGATGTTGTGAGGATTAAGTGGGTTAAAACACTAGAAGTGCTTAAGACAGGGTCAAGCGCAGAGTAAGCGTGACAAAGGCACATGTAAATATTATCATTAGAAATAAAGGTATTGGGGGCTTCCCTGGTGGTGCAGTGGTTAAGAATCCATCTGCCAATGCAGGGGACATGGGTCTGATCCCTGGTCAGGGAAGATCCCACATGCCACGGAGCAACTAAGCCCGTGCACCACAACTACTGAGCCTGTGCTCTAGAGCCCATGAGCCACAACTACTGAGCCTGCGTGCCACAACTACTGAAGCCCGCGCGCCTAGAGCCCGTGCTCCACAAGAGAAGCCACCACAATGAGAAGCATGTGCACCACAATGAAAAGTAGCCCCCGCTCTCCGCAACTAGAGAAAGCCTGCGCACAGCAACAAAGACCCAACGCAGCCAAAAATAAATAAATTTAAAAAAGAAAGAAAATAATAATAATTATTATTATAAATGCTACATGACTGCTCATAACTGCTATTTTCTCAGGCCCCTTCTGAAGGTTTTTTCATGAACACAAACCACACTTGCAACCCATATGTCTTGCAACCCAGTTGGCAGCTGTAGTCAGAGATCACAGATTTGGTCAATAGTTTTCTAATTTCTTCCTGAGTTCTTTTTTAATTCCCTGGCACTGTTTGTTACAATCTATTGCAAAAGGAACTTCTAGTCTGTACCTCTTAATATGATTCTGTTGAATCTTTATTCTCTTTTCTTTGCTTGCCTTTCTCTTTTTGAAAGGTATTTCTCCCCTGCAATAACAACATCTTTGACTCAGCTATAAAAGAGATTTTTTTCCTTTCTAAGCAAATGCTTACTTGTCTCTCTGAATGTTCTCTTCCACCATAATTTTAGTAGTTTCCAGATTCTTTGGTGTTATTTACCTTTAAAATTCTATCAATTTTTCCCCAACTAAAGGTTTCATTTAACAAGTAAAATGAGTTTTGGTCTCAATATAAGGAAAACTTTTTTTTCCACTTCAAGTTGATGTAACTTTCATTTTTCAGTTTGATTGGGAAATGGCATATTAATTTAATTTTATTTTTTTAATTGAGGTAAGTTTCATGTGTACAACATTATAATTTTACTTTTGAATACACAACAGTGTGCCTTCCACCAAAAGTCTAGTTTCTATCCATCACCATACAGTTGACCCCATTTACTTATTTCACCCTCCCTCTCAACCCCCAACTAGTAACCACCAATCCGTTCTCTGTGTTTATGTGGGGTTTTTTTGAGGTTTTTGGTTTGTTTGTTTGTTCGTTTGTTTGGGTTTGTTTGGCCATGCCATGTGGCATGTGGGATCTTAGTTCCTGGACCAGGGATTGAACCCTCACCACTTACAGTGGAAGGGTGGAGTCTTAACCACAGGACTACCAGGGAAGTCCCCTTGTTTTGTTTTGTTTGTTCATTTATTTATTTATTTTTTATATTCCACATGAGTGAAATCATACAATAGTTGTCTTTCTCCATCTGACTTATTTCACTTAGCATAATACCCTCAAGGTCCATCCATGTTGTCACAGATGGCAAGATACCATCTTTATGGCTGAATGGTATATAT